GCTTCATAATGGATAAAGTTTCCAACTTTATCCATTAGGATGGTCCAAACAACCAAGATCCAGTATTTAATTATCAAAGGGACCAATAATGCATCTTTCTCAGCTAAATCCATTAAGTCCAAGACTCCAACCTTCAGATCTGAATCAACATGATGTTTAGATGGATAAAGTTTCCAACTTTGTAACGCCCGTAGATCCGGGCTAGTCAATTTAGAGATAATAGGGGTCGAGAACGACTTTTTGACAAAAGATTATTTAGAATAAATAATCTTAACCAAGTTGTAGAATACGTCTCAAGGGTTCCGTACATATAAAGAACGTTGAAATCCGAGTTAGAACGAAGAAGTTATGGTCCGTCGAAGTTTTATGGCAAAACCGGCACTACACCGGGAGACGTAAATAGTGAATTTACGATGGCAGACTTTTTAGCCTTAGAAATCTAAACAAAATTTGTAGTATACGTTAAACCAAGAACATACAAAAAAAGAACGCCCAAATCTGACTTCGTATGAGGAAGTTATGAATTTTCTAAGATTTGGCTTAACAATGCACAGCCCGAAACTCGAATTTTCAATCGAGAGGTTTTTGGCCTACGCGACCTAAATGAGAATTGAAGATCTCATTAATAGGAACTCAACGGTAAAAAGACAGACGAAAACAGAGTCCGTATGTAGAAGTTACGAATTTTACGCAGACATTTAACAGTATAATCTCCTCGTACTGTTAAATTTAAGATCGGTCGAGAACTAGCCGACGGAGTCAAAATGAAAGTTGTAGATCTTATTTTTACCTACGCGTGGATATAAAGAACGTCAAAAACGGAGGTCGTATGTGAAAGTTACGGATTTTAGAAGTCGGAAGTGTGCTGTGCGAAAATGGGTGATGTGGCACAATCTTGGCCATTGCTTTCTCCCCAAGTCTTGCCACTAGATGGTGACATGTGGCACCAAGTTCAGCCATTTTTCACCCTATAAATAGAACCTCTCCCACCCTCATTTTCTTCACACCTTTCCCATTCTTTCTTCTCTTTACTCTCTCTCTAGAACCTCTCTCTAGCCCCGACCCCCCCCCCCCCTCCCGAAAAGCCTGGGGAACCTCCCTAGCACGAGGCGGAAGCCCCGGAGTGCTCGACGGCTCCGAGAAGAAGAGCTTTTCGGCTCGGGAAAGCTGCTCCAAGCAAAGCCCGGTTTTCTATAAAACCCGATGTAAGTGAGCTACGCCTACGCTATTTTTAATATAGCTTTTATTTAATTATAGTAACGTTATTAGGAACTTATAATAAGTAGTTGGGCTATTATTATGGGTTATATAAGTATTGTTTAACGCTTATATAATAGTAATAATAGCTAGACTATTAATTAGTCTCGACGAATAATAGACTAAACTCTAGTGGTAATAATACTAGGTTTCGTCGAAGGAAATTATTTTTTTAAGAAGCGAAGTGCTGTCTGAGTTCAGAATCACCACCTTTTCAAGTGAGTGCATAGTTACTTTCATCTTACACATAGATATGAAGTATTTTATATAAACTACGTGCTATGTGTGCATATTATCTGTATACTTGCTATCTATGCTGGATGAACGATTTTATACAAGTTTTATATGATTTAAACTATATATGTATTTATATCTACATAATATGTTGGGTAAAACATGGGTAGATGAAATATGAGTTGGATGATGAGTTGAGAGGTGATATAGACCATAAGGTAAGGGTGAGAGGTGGGCGATGTGAGAAGCCTTGTTCCCAAATGCTGGCCCCGTCATCTAGCAGAGTATGGATGACAACCACAGACTATTCTAGACAGTCCAGTGGAACACTAGCAGGCTCGCAACCTGTAGGTGTTGTGAACGATGTGTTCACCTGGTGTACTCTAAACCCTGGCGATCATGCAGACTTGGTGCCTAAACCTTGGCAATCATGCAGACTTGGTACCAAAACCCTGGCGACTATGCGGACTTAGTGCCTGTTGTATAAACCATGACTATGCAGACTTAGTGCCTAAACCCTGGTGACTATGCGGACTTAGTGCCTATTGTATAAATCCTGGCGACTATGCAAACTTAGTGCCTAAACCCCGGTGACGATGGACTTCGTGCCGATTCCTTAGGATGATCCTTAGGAATGAATGAACGAGGAATAGTTGATTCTTAGGGTAGATCCTTAAGAGTAAAGAAGATAATGGGGATGGGTAATTGGGTTGATTGTTTGATGTTTAAACATAATAATTATATTATTGTGGGTTGAAAACCCTATGTACTCACCAGGTTTCCCAACCTGACCCACTCAAGCTTATTTGTTTCACAGGTGTCAATATGAAGCTACTTTACACTGAGAGATTTAAAAGAGATGTAAATCACTAGTGTAAATGAATGTAAGTTCTGTTTATGCTTATGTTTATGTATTGACGATGACATCCCAAATGTTTTAAAATGAATAAAAATACATTTATTCGGAAATGCTTTGATAATGTATTTATCATGTTTTACTGGGAACTAATTCCGCAACATTTTTATTAAAAGAATTACTCTGATTTTTATAAAGCATAAACAAAATCGGTCTTTTCTGGCCGTGAAAATGGGGATGTCACAAACTTTATCCATAATATTGTCTCAAACTTTCAAGATCTAAACTTTATTACCCCAAAATAACCTAAATGACCAAGATAACTTGCATGGCTGAAAGGGGAGGTAAAAGATCAAAACTTTCCTAGTCCAAGAGGTCCAAGAAAACATTCTAAACTGATGAAAAGGGTGTTGGAGTCCATATCTGAAACATACAATGCTCTTGGGACCTTGGAGAGTAATAAAGTTGCAAACTTTATCCCCGACTCTCACTAAAACTCATTAAAATGGACCAAGACACCAAATACACTTAGATCCAAGATGAATATGCAATAAAGCTTGGAACTTTATAACTTACCGGGGTCTAGAAGGTAGATGAAAATTGAGATCATCAATTGTCAAGCTTCAAGAATCAATCTTGCATGAAAACATTTCTCCAAAACCACCAAAGACTCTAAAAATTGATGAGAGAGGATAAGGGGTGCTCAAATCTTGAAAATGGAGGCTACGTTTCTCCCAAGAGGTTCTAGATATGATGGAGGCTAAGAAAATACCCTAAAACATGAATCATTACCTTTAAATACCTTGAAAACCCTAAAAATTTTGTGGGCTTTGGGTTGCACAGTTCTCATGTCGTGAGAATATATTCTCACCTCGTGAGCACACTCACATGGTGAGAATTACTTCTCACCTCGTGAGAACGGGTTTTCACCCAAGTTCACTCAAACTTCAAACAATCATAACTTCTTCGTTTCAACTCCGTTTGCAATATTAATAGATTCAGTTAAATTTCTTTAACACAATATTTATGACCATTGCCTTTAAATTGGCCACAACTTGTTGGGAGCGTTTTTGGTAACATAATTATCAAATAGCCTCCCCCCTCTCTCTCTGTATATATATATATTATATATATATATATATATATATATATATATATATATATATATATATATATATATATATATATATATATATATGACAAGAGCAATGTTATCAATGTAGATTTTAATACATGAAATAAATGTATTGAAGATGGTGTTTTTCTTCATGTTATTGATCTCTATCTCTTGTACTTTTAGTTTGTAGTAAAATTTATTTTTTATATTTAATATTTTAAACAATAAAATTTTATAAAATGACATTGTTTTTTCCTAGTCAAAGATGCATATTTTTTTTTTGGTACAAAAGTAGCTTATTTAAAATAGATATTTACCAAAATGATGTGGTTTTAAAAATATTTATCATTTATGTTAAATTTTATACAAAATCAAAATTAGAAGATAAAATAAAAAATATGTAAAATACAATTATCAGAGTAATTACCTTTTCGTTTTGTTCACATTTGGATTTTTTTTTTTTTACGATTTTGTTGGAAATGTTCACATATGACCATCATGACCGGCCGTAACTTGCTACATTCGGTCATAATGACCATATGTGAACATTTACAACAATTTTGTTACCTAGATGTGTACAAAAAAAAATAAAAATTATCTAGTTACGAACAAAACAAAAATTATTATACAGGTAAGTAGAGGTGACAAAAATTGACACGATACGAAATAAATGAGTTTGGGTAAGATATTTCAACTCGTTTAAATAAACGGGTTGACACGATACGACACGAAAATTAAACGGGTAAAGTTAGGGTTGAGAATTTCAACTCGAATATAACTCGAAAATGACTCGTTTATTTATAGATAAATTTTTTGAATTCTTTAGATAAACTAGAAAGATACAAAATCAAAACAATAAGTAAAAGAAAACCTTTGGATTGAATCGTTTTGTAGTGTGGAAATGACTTAGTCGTCTAAATAAAGCCTTCATTTTCAGTTTTTCCGTTCTCTCCCTAACTACACGGTCCCTTTGACCACTCTCACATCCTCATGGTCTTGTCTTCCACCTCTCGAGCTCGTACTCTTTCGCTTTTGTCATATGAACTTGCTATGAATTCATTTATTCTGCTCCAAACTATTAGTTTTTCATTTCCTTCTACCAAATTCCTACTCTTTCAACATGCTTAATCTTTTAACCTCACATGACACAACATATTTCAAGGTGTCCCTAACATGAAATCCGATACGAACATAAATGGGTTGACACGTCACGACACGTTAATTAAACGGGTCGGGTTAGGTTCAAGTACTTTCAACCTGTTTAGTATTTCGACACGACATAAACCCGACACGACACGATTGCCACATCTACTGGTAAGTCATGTTCCCATAAATTACCTATAGCCTCAAAGTCAAAGTTGAAACACCCGAAACATAAACCCGACACGACACGATTGCCACATCTACTGGTAAGTCATGTTCCCATAAATTACCTATAGCCTCAAAGTCAAAGTTGAAACACCCGAAAAAGATTTATAGGAATATTTTCACGTTAAAATAGGAAGTAATGTATGGCAAAAGCTAAAATATTAAGAAGACCCGTCGCACCAAACTTCCAAACCGATAAAGTAAATTTATATACGCTCTCTCTCTCTCGTTGAGTTGCCGTTGTCTCACTCAATCTTCCAACTCTGATTAACACCGTTCTCTTCGACTTCTAGAGAGAGAGAGAGAGAGAGGAAAAGGGGGTCTCCGTTTTTGCTCTGATCCTCTCTCTTTCTTCCCCAAAATTGAGTTCATCTATCGACGAATTTGAGTTTTTCCGATTCCCAATCGGTAAATCGGAGGTTTAATAAGACAACGATGTTTGGATTTGAGTGTTGTTGCGGCGACAAAGACGGTGAATTCTACCCTCTATTGCCGGAAGAAACGAAACCCTTCTGTCTTCCTTCACCGCTTCCCCAATGGCCCGAAGGTATCGTCTAAGACCCATCTTCCTTCCTTGATTGTTTTTTTGATTTTTGTGTTCTTGGTTGATTTTGGCCGAAATTATTGATGGTGTTTTTATGATCATCTATCATATACTTTCCTTCCATGTGACAGTTTTCATTAATCATACTTCCGTTCTATGTGCGTTTGACTTGATTAATTTGAGTTAAGATTGCCAATTTCGGTCTGGGTGAGTTTGAAGGTGATCAAAGAAATCTTTTCATGGATCTAATTTAATTGGATCCAGTTGAATTGAAATTTATGCTGACCGTATTTGACTTTGACTTTTCTATACCACACATGTGTATTAAGTACCAAAAATTTATCAAAGATTTGAAAACTTCATATGGATTTGAAGCTGTTTCAATTCAAAAATCAAAAGTCAAAATTGCAAACTTTTTATCCGAATTTGCTGTATATGTTATATTCTTAATAAACTATCTCTTCAACTAGTTTCGGCGTTGCTGTTATTAGGGATAAGTATCAAGTTCATGAACTTGGTCAAAATTGGTGAATTTGAAAGTCAACCGGAAATTTAGTTTCTTGGAAGATTTTGAAGCAATATCGAAATCTAAAAATTCTCGATCTAACAAAGTAAAATACTCATGTTCTTAATGTGATGGATTGAAGGTCAAGGTTTTGCTACTGGAAGAATAAGCCTAGGAGAATTGGAAGTCGCAATAGTGAAAGATTTTGAGTTTATAGCGAGTTACACCCCCAAGAAATCAAAAACCGGCGTCACATTCTATAAACCGGTGTCAATCCCCGAAGGATTCTTCACCTTCGGTTACCACTGTCAACTAACCGATAAACAACTTCGAGGCCATGTTATTGTTGCTCGAGATACCCAAAATACAGCAGTAACAGACGCCGAATTTCCTCCACTAAAATCGCCTCTTGGTTACGACCTTATCTGGAGTTCAAATTCTGTTTACGTGTGGAAACCGGTTCCTCCCGAAGGTTATCGAGCTTTGGGATTCGTGGTCACCATTGATGAAGATGAGCCCGATCTTGAAGAAGTCCGATGCGTTCGAGACGATCTTACTGAGGATTGCTTAATCGATGATGTCATACTTGGGAGCTCTTCTGATCTTCGAGTTTGGAACACGAAAGCGATCAAAACAGGGATGTTCTGTAAAGGTGTTACAGTCGGAACGTTTTTCTGTAGCACGGATTCGGTTAACAATGACGATATAAACATCTGTTGTTTGAGAAACATGGATCCGAAGCTTGAAGGGATGCCGAATTTGGATCAAGTCAAGGCGCTCATTGACCACTATGGCCCTACTGTTTACTTCCATCCCGACGAGCTATATCTGCCGTCATCGGTGCCGTGGTTCTTTGAAAACGGTGCACTTCTGTTCAAAAAAGGGAAATCTGACGGGAGATCAATCGATAGCGGAGGGTCAAACTTGCCTCAAGGCGGGAAGAACGACGGTGAGTTCTGGTTAGATTTGCCGGAGGATGAAAACGACGATACCTTTGTCAAAAACGGGAATCTCGAAAGTGCAGAGCTTTACGTTCATGTGAAACCTGCTTTAGGTGGGACTTTTACTGATATCGCGATGTGGATTTTTTGCCCGTTTAATGGGCCGGTTACTTTTACAATCGAGCTGTTGAATTTGAACATCGAGATGAATAAGGTCGGCGAACATGTCGGCGATTGGGAGCATTATACCCTCCGGATAAGCAACTTCGACGGCGAACTTGGGAGCGTGTACTTTTCCGAGCATAGCGGCGGCGAATGGGTTGACGCTAGTGAGCTGGAGTTCATCGAGGGGAATAAACCGATTGTTTACTCTTCGAAATGCGGGCATGCGAGTTTTCCGAACGCCGGGACATATATTCAGGGATCCACGAAGCTTGGGATCGGAGTGAAGAATGACGTTGACAAGAGTGATTGGTTTATTGATTCGAGCAAAAAGTATCAGATTATAGCGGCGGAGTACCTTGGCGGCGTTGTGGAGGAGCCAGATTGGTTACAGTATATGAGGGAATGGGGGCCGACGGTGTTGTATGATGGGCGGTCGGAGCTTGAGAAGATTATACGTCACCTTCCGTTTTTCATCCGGTTGACGGTGGAGACGCTGATTGATTTTTTTCCGATGGAACTTTATGGGGAAGAAGGGCCCACAGGGCCTAAGGAGAAGGACAACTGGTATGGAGATGAAAGATGTTAGACGCGACACGTGGTTACATGCATTGATGGTTGTATGTTTGTGTACAATGGTTAATGCTTGGAGAGTGAGGGTGTGTTTATCTCCATGAATTGAATTGTGTTTGCATGAATGTGTGGTACAATGCAACAATAGTTGATTATGGACGATAATGATATATTGTTGTAAAATAGACATTTTTGTTATTTTTATCTTATTTAACTGTATATATGAACCTGATGATTTACTTATTGCATATGTGTATTGCTATATGTTCAGCAATTTAATTTGTGGGTAAATTCATAATATAATGTTGTAAACTTTGAATGACAAGTAGATTTTAAATATATGTTATACATCACTAGTTGTACATGCACAATCCAGTCAACAAAACGTCTGTCAAATACGTTTCTAGAGACTCGAGCATGAGGCATTCTTTTGAAGGGATATTGATAAGAAAAACCTATAATTTTTTTGAGTTTTTATGGTTTTATATAGTTTTTCGGTTATATTTTATAGACTATAATTTCCATTCAACTTCTTGATTTCACTTTTTTTTTAATATCTTTTGTCATAATTTTCTTATGTTTTCCTAAATTGAAAACTCGCAAGATCGTTAAGTTTGTAAAGTTACGGTTTTATCTAAAAGACGTTTAGTAGTGTTACCCACATATATGGCCACCGTTCCAAAAAAAATTATTGTTGAAAATTTTACTTATTTTACCAATGAATCAAATAACATTTTTGTAATTAACAACTGCTTTAATTATAAAACATATATAATTAACTCTAGTTTAACTATATTTTATAATTAACATAGTGTATATAATTAACACAATGCATATAATTAATCTTATTTAGCAGGGGTGAGCAAAACCGAACCTGAAAACTTAAAAACCGACAAATCCGAAACCAAAATAGAAAGCAGACAATTTTGATTTAAGTTTTTCAAAAACTGAAATATTGGGTTTGGTTTTCGGTTATAGGAAATATAAAAACCAAGAAAAACCAAACCAAACCGAATTTTATGAACATATGTATTCTGTGAATTATATACGTGTTCCATGGGTTTTAAACACAAATAGAAAAGTCAGGTGCTTAAGACGTTGGGATGTTATCCTTGAGGTTGCAAGTTTAAAACGTGTTGCCTACATTTCGTTCCTGCTATTTTGGCAGCTATTTAAAAGCCATCCACATCGCCTATGGATTGAAACTAAACCACATATCCTCTCCTATATTATCTCATGCTTTATTGAGCTATAACCTTGAGCCCCACATCGCTTGAGGGATGAAAATATAAGCTAGCTTCAGCTTTATATAAGTGAGGACTTGATGTGGTTTAAGAAATGGCTTGAGATTTGGTTTAACTCATAAAACCAAAACAGATCCCAGAAAACCGAGTCAAAAACCAAAAACCAATAAACCAAACCCAACAGTTTGGGTTTGGGTTTCGTTTCAAATTCTTAGAAACCGATGTTTTTCGATTTTTGACCAAAAATCGACCCATGCTTACCCCTACTACTTAGGGTAAGATGCATGTCTTACACTTAAGACAATCTCTATTCTTATGTACCATCCCATTTTTCGCCTTACAATATAATCGACCGGTCACGTAAATAGACGTTTTTGATAGAGGACTATTTAGGCTAGATAGTCTTAACGAAAGTCGTAGTAATCGCAAAACCGAAAGCGTCCGTATAGAGAACGTCCAAATCTGACTTCGTGAGAGGAAGTTATGATTTTTTAGAAGTTTCAGTGCAACAATATACGACTCAGAAACCGAAGTAGAGATTGGTTGATTGTTAGGAAAAAAAATCTAAACGAGACTTGAAGATCTCGTCCATATGATTTCGTTGATATAAAGACAGTCGATAACGAAATTCATATGAGAGAGTTATAATTTTTATACGGGCTTTAACAGTTTAAGTTTGTTAAAAATATAGCTTTAAAATAAAGTGAGAATTAGCCGTCGGAGTCTAAATGAAAGTTGTAGATCTCGTCGATAGCTACGCGTAGATATAAAACGCGTCGAAAATGGAGCTCGTATGAAGAAAATATGAATTTTTGAAGAAACAGAAAATCCTCGCGCACGCTCACTTGCAACGACAGAGTACGTGACACACACCGACACTCCACCCGTTATCTGTGACGAGTCACGCGATTGTTGGAGCAACATCATCATGTTCGACCAAGTGCACGGTGCACATGCAAAATTTCCCCTATAAATACCCTGCGAACTTAGTCCATTCCCATACCTTTTCAATTACTCTCTCTTGAATTTCTTGCTGCTTTAGCTCTAGATTTCCCTTAGTTTTAGTCTTCGGCGAAGCCCTGAGATCCCTAGAAGCCCTGCGGTGTTAGATATCCGGTGAATAAAAGCTCCCGTATCAGAGTTCTACCCACATAATTCCCGGTTTTCATCAGAATACTCTGTAAGTTAAGCTACACTTATTTTATTCAAGTGTAACTTTTAATTATAGTCATAGTCGTTATTATGAACCTATAATTAAGATTTATTAGTAATTCCAGATATAATGCTGATTGATCTACTTACGGGAAATGTGTCTAGAATGGTCACATTGGCTTGGTTGTTGGAATTCAGAAAAGTTATATGTTGAAATGGTCCTGCCTCCCAATTGTCCGGCCTGTCTGATCCTTATTTGATAGAACTCTCGGTATTCATTTGGATTAGTGAAAGATCTAGCTTTCATTACCAGATCATCATAGAAGTTGATAGGTTAAAGTATTATAGGTTAATACTCGTTCAACGTGTTACCCGTCAGCCGAATTGCCAGTAAAGTCCAGATAGCTGTCAATCTTTAGAGTCATTATCCAGGTGAGTTATCTCACTATATTATGTGTTACAATATATATATCTATGTATGTTAGGATATAAGAGTTAATAAAATAGATGTAACACTTGCAGATTCGGGCTAGTCAATTAAGATATAATAAACGTTAAAAATGACTTTTTGATAGAAGATTATTTATGAAAAATAATCTTAACAAAAGTTATAGTATATGTGACAAGGATTCTGGAGATATAAGGTGTAACATCCCGGTTTCCAGGTATGAGATTTATTCTTTATTAAGCAAGTTTTCCTTGGAACTCGGCGAGTTGATGGCCTCAATTCGACGTGTTGGAAGGTTTTGGGCTGCACATCTTTTTGGACTAACTCGACGAGTTGGTAAGGAAAAACTCGACGAGTTGGCGGCTGGATGAGAAACCCTAAATTTTAGGGTTTGCACCCTATATAACCTCCTTAAGTCCTTGAGGTTGATCTTTTATCAGCCTCCAAACCCTATTATCGGCTTTGTGAACCCTAATCTTTATTCCATCTCATATTGTGAGTTAGTGTGGCATATTGGAGCAAAAGAAGAAGATTGAGAGAAGGAGGCAAGGATCTAACAACCTAAGCTCTCATCTTCAGTTTGGCACTCTTTTGGACCATCACATTTGAGTCGGGAGCTGAGCTTCAGAGTTAGAGCTTATCAGTTCAACTACTTGTGAGGTGAGTCTTCCTCACTGTACTTGTTGGGTCGAAGGCACCAAGGCCCGCCCTTTTGGATTGTTTTCCGGATTATTGCATGGTTGAGTATTGTTGTGATATGTTGGAAGTATACTCTGGTAGATAGGATGATGCTATGCTTAGTAATCTGGAAGATCTGCATGTGCTTGTCTGTTGATTGATTATATGTTTATGAGTTATGTATATGTCGACATGTTATGTGTGGTTAGGTTGAGGCGGTCCTGCTTTATGCTGAAGGCCAACAGACCCAGGGCATCCCGAATAGCCTGAAGGCCAGTGGGGCGTACCAGTCAGGCCGAAGGCCCGAAGAACGTTCCAGATAGGTTAAAGGCTCGAGGCGGCGTACCAGTCATACTGAAGGTTCTATGAGTGTACCAGATGGACTATAGGCCGGTGAGGCGTTCCAGTCAGACTGAAGGCTCTGTATGCATGTTGTTTGCTGTATTATTCTAGTTTCGTGATGTGTTGGTATTTTGGGGAAGACTCACTAAGCTTTTGGCTTACAGTTTTGGATTATGTTTCAGGTACCTCAGATGATCGCAAGAAGGAGAAGGCTTGATCGTGCACCTCCTCGTGTTTTGTGTTATGATTTCTGGGAAAACTTTGATGTGAAACTTATTTTGAAAACAAATTGTAATAAATGATGGTTTTGTGGTTGTTTAAAAAGTTTAAAATTTTCAAGAATTTTTCGAATGTTACAAGTTGGTATCAGAGCCTTGGTTTGAGCGAATTGGAGGAACACTCGTGTGAATCCAGTCTCAAACTAAGGAAAAGATTAAAAAAAATGATTTTCAAACGGTTTTCAAAATAATCAAGGAGGATGCGATGTGTACGATCAGCCGGAGCCAGTAAGTAGACCCCAAAATACCATACTGTTATTTGATATTGTGATATGTTAGAACAGCATGCTAGTGATAGGCTAGGGATCTTCAGGAATTGCATGATAGAATTGCCTGATTATATGATGCCTGATAGCCTATGACCTTTCTTTTATGGAATTGACATCATTACTGTAGTTGCTTAGTGTATGCATCATGGTTGTATATAACTACGATCTTATAGCCAGAGAATGTTTGGTTTGGCCTTATTTCTTGTTCTTGTTTGATGAAGGGCTTAGGGTAGGATCAAATATTCGAAAGTCTATAGGGTCTAGTGTTATGTATGGCTAGCATACACAAGTGTTGCAGGGTTGGTGGAAGTTTCATGGTTGAGTCGTGTGGGGTCAGCCGGCCAGTTGTGAGATGTTTAGCCTTTCCTCTAGGGAGTGAGGATTGAGTGTTCGTCTTTGCTTATGAGTATTGTTAGGGCGTTGTAATGATCCTTGAGACAAATACGAGTAGGTGTGGAAGGTAGTATGGGCCCGTACTACTGAAAGCACATGACCTGTATACGTAGCAAGGAAGTCACAACCCCTAGGGCTTCTTTGGGAGTTGGTTCCCCGCTATGATATGTGATTTATCTGATGTCTTCCTAGTGTATTTTTAGTATGGTGACTATGAGACGAGTTGAGATCGGATCCGAGTCAGGATCAGGAGCTGGCAGACAGGGTGAGTCGGTATTGTCAGAAAGACCGCGTCAGGGAGATCATTCACGAGGAGGTGGTTGCTATTGTACGGGGTCAGATTTCGGAGATGTTCGGGTCTATCAAGACCGCGATGATGGAGTTCTTTGATGATCGCTATGCAGCCATTGCTGAGACGGCTGCTGATGTAACCTCCACAGCCGTGGCAGCTGTAGATGTTGGGACAGGGCGGGTC